CCCTCAGTACAGCTCCACCCTCGTCTCTCACCCTTTTAAACCAAAAAAAAATTCCCCACTAGTAATCCAGCCTCTGGCAATAGCCAGTCTGAGCTTCGTCTTTTACTTTTCCAGTCACTGTTTTAACTCCAAATTCCTCTAATGGTAAGTGATTTCCTTTTCTTTAACTCAACCCACGAGCTTTTTAATCTTATTTTCTCCCCCGTCCTGTTGAGGAGAGGGAGTGAGAGCAGCTGGGTGGGTTCTGGCCAGCCCACCACATTTTCCAATCCTCCACACTTAATGGAGGAGGTGCCTTGACACAGGGAATCCCTCTGGGCACATAAATCAGCAAATACAAGCTGAAGCCCTCAAAGGGTGATGAATGCAAGCACCACTATTACGTAAGAACTTTCCTGGATAGATTAATGCTTTGAATAATAATTTAAAGTTGACCTGAATTAAAAACTTTGGTAAAAATCTCTCAAAGAATTCCCAAACTGAGCAACCCCCAGGTGTGCAAAATATTGATGGTGGCTTATGGAGCCATCCTAACAAATTTTTTTGAAAGTATTATTCTAAAGTGAGATTTTTGTTGTTTCCTCCTTTCCTTGTGTTTCAATAGCCAAATATATTTTCTTTCCAGAGAAGAGCTGGGAATCCAGGAACCTGCAGCCAGGGGAGGCAGCAATTAGTGGTTTGAAGTGTTAATGGGACCACAGTGGGAATGGGGAGTCCCTTGAACTCAGCTATTAGCAAATTAATAAAAGGAATAACACGATCTCCTGAGTGTTATAAATTTAGCACTAATTAGGACTTCTCTGTCTTAGTTATTTTAGGCAAGAAAATCTTCAATATCCTTTGTTAAATCTGAATCATCTTGTTTGTAGAAGGAAATCATATGGAAACATTGGTTTCTTTACCCATCTACAGTCTATTAAGCTTTTGCCATTCTCTCTTTCTTTCTGATTTATAGCTAGATATTTTGCATATAGTTAGTTTAATTTATCAAATTTTCTCCCAAAAGAGGATTTTCTTTGAATGAGACTAATCTATAGGTCATTAATTTCTCACAGTCCATCCCAAGTGTTTCAAAGATCCCCACTTCACAGGAGTGTCAGTGATCCAATTTATTTATATTTATTTTATTTATTTATTGCTTATATATTCCAGATGTTAAACCTCACGGAGTTATTGTAACTGGCAAGCCATCTTTCTCTGCCAAAGATCTACACAGTTTTGTGTATTTTAGCACTGGGGAATTAATCATGAGAGAAACTTAATCAGGTTTGCAATGATAAAAAGCCCTTAATTAGAGCAGAAGCCAAAATGTCCTCCTGCTCTTCCTTTCTTCTTACACTGCCCAGATCTCATTGAAACTTTGCCTGAAGTCCAGAAAACAAATCTCACAGTTGATTGAATATTTCTAATTGTGAATTGATGTCTATGCTTTTGCAGATATGTTTCAAACCCTGCCTGCTGGCTGTGTTGGCTAATTTGCCCATACCCAGGAAATTAATTCTTTTTTAACTACAGAGCAAAGCTGTGATGTTGGGCAATACATGTCTGCCTTTCTGCAAAGAATATTACTTGTCTCTAGCAAGATCAATGCATCACTAAATGATTGGCATAACCACAGAAGATTTAGCTTTTAATGTTTAGGAAACACTGATGGGGGAAGAGAAAGCTCAACAGACTGGCTGAGGCAGAAGAAACTCACTTCCATTTAACAAAAACCATAGCTTATTTAAGCCATAAAGTGTAGATGGGAGGATTCATCTTAATTGGTGTCACTAAGGAAAAGAGTATGTTAGAAGTAATCAGTAGTGAGCTCATGGTTTAAAACACACATGTAACACATGCACATGTACAGCACTGTGGAGAACTGAATTAGAAGCTGTATGAAAATACACCATAAAGCCTGAAAAACATTGGACACTGTCAAGGTGGCTTTCCATAAAATAGTGCAAATTGATGTTAAAATCTTTGGTTTATAATCAGTTAGAAAGGGTAGTTTGGCAGCAGTGTTAATAACCTCTGAAACAAAAGTAGCATGAAAAGGGGGATTCCATGAGCAGAACTCAGCTCAGAAGGCTTTGTCTCATGTCTATGAAAAATCAAAAATGGTATCAGCCATTTCCCTGTCTAGGAGAACTGGATGAAGACCTCTCCTCATCCTCTGTGGAGGGAAACACGTTTCTGTTTACTTCTGCTGAACACTTGGTCAGAGAGTGTTGTCTGCACTGTGTATGAGGCTAAAGAAAGTGTTAATTTTACTATTCTCTACTGCATGAGGTAGGATGTGAATGGTGTGTACTGAGGTGACATTGGAACATTCCATCTGCCATAGGGACCTAAATACTAATCATAACTGAGTCCTTTCTTCCCTCTATGTGGGTTATAACTGCGGGAATAAGATGTGTGAGTGTGTAAGCTGAGCAGCATGTAGATAAATTTCAGATGATGATTTAATGCTGGTGAATACAAATCTTATAGTCCTGCATGCAGTCTGGTACTGGAGAGGACCTTTGAGGTCAATTCATTTCCCTTCTGTCATAGGCAGCCCTCTAAAAGAAACTACATGATAAAGTGATACAGCCCCATCACAAAATTAATTTTTTGCCACCATTTCTACTACTGTAAGAGTGCAGGAGGAAGAATCCTCCTGCAGCTCCTTGGAAATGTGGAAATCTTCCTATTCCCAGCCTTAATATACTCTTATTCAGTTTATTCACATAATTCTTTCCTGCCAAAATTGTGCTTCTGCTTAAATAGCGCTTCTCCCTTCTGTGTGCTCATCCGTGATGTATTTATAGGGAGTCCTCTCTCAGCATTCACTGCATGAGATAAAACAAGCCATCCTTTTTTTAGTCTCCTTTCGTATAACAGACTTTCCACAATCTGAATCATCCTTGCAGCTCATCCCTTCACCTGCTGCAGTCTGAGCATGGGGAGCAGAACCAGCAAGAGCAGCTATCTATTGTCTTACCGGGGATTTTTACGGTGCCATTAATAGTCCCTTGTTTCTTACTGCTGTATTGTGCATTTACACTCTCTGTGTGTAGAATTGTTCAAGCATATCAATTATGTTATACAGTGAACCATCGAATTCTGGTGTGTCATCTCCACTGGTGCCACTTGTGCTCCTCGGGAGTGTGGTCAGCATCTTGCAGGCAAAATCCTTCGGTACTTTTCAGCTGGTGCTTTTTCATCCTTGATAGCTCCTGCAGAGTGTTTCAGCATGAAGATGTTTCAGCAGTCATTACAAAAGCAAGTGAATCATTCAAGAAAAGCACAATCCATCCATCTTCTTTAGTGTCACCAATTAATAGCTGCTCAGGATGCTTTGAAACCTATAGCTGCCTAAGGGAAGAAAAATAACCAACCCCTTCCCACAGTGCTGTGCTATCATTATATTTTGAGTACCTTGCCAGTGCAAAGAAGCTCTATTTAATAAGTGAGGTGAGGGCAATATGCAAGGGGCTTTGATGTGAGGCTTTAAAAAAGGGTAAAAGACCAGTTATGCCAATCTGGGATAAGAAGGGAACTAAAAAACAATTGGTAGACAAGAATATTTCTTATTATTGGAAACCATTTCTCATTCCAGAAGCCAGTGGTCAGAGCCTGGCTGATTTTGGTGGACACGCTTCTGTCTGCTGCTGCCCCTCCAAGCAAGCAGCATTGGGGCAACCACACTTTCCTCCACCTGATGGAGCTGGAACAGCCTTTTACCTTATGCTTCTGATTTGAAATATTTTGCTGCAGACTGTGCAAAAATAAGGGACCATTTTTAAAAAGGGGTAGTGTTGCCTTTGTGGGCAGCTCAGGCTGGGTCTGTGTGCTCATTCCTCAAGTCACAGGGTGCTAGAGCAAAGCCATTGCACCCTTTGGTGGGGCTGCTCCTTGGGAACTCTGTCCCGGAGTCAAATCCTGACCCAATGTTTGCCAGACATAAGGATACACTCCCAAACCCACCCACAGCTGCTGACCCCCCTCCCTCCCTCCCACCTCACCTCCCTGTCTGAGACATTATGGCTGCTGATGGCTTTTGCCACTGGACACACAGCTCTGTCTGTACAGGACATCAATGCCACCTGTACAGGATGTCCGAGCAGGATGGCAATGCCACCTCTTGAGGGGAATCAATTCACTTCCAGCTAATGTGCCAGAGGTGGAGGTCTGTGCCTAAGTGTAATGGAGCCTGATGGAGGCTAATTAAATAGAAAACCATCCATTCGTGCTGTCTCATTAGGGATTTGTCATAAAAACCTTATGTTCTCTTACAAGCCTAAACAAGTGTGTTCCCCATGTAAAAATCAGCCATAAAGCTCTCTGGAGAGTAGTTAACATGTCTAAGCTGTCATTTATAAGGGCTGTCTGCAGCCTGGATCCTGCAGGTGGGAATGGCCTTTCCAGTGTCCTCAAACCACCCTGCATAAGTGGGGCATCCCTCCTTCAACCTGGGAAAGAGGGACAAGCCCAGCCATCCTGCACTGGCAGTCATGTGGAGCGGATGTTTCTCCATCTGGCTCTGACGGGAGCTGGGAATCAGAGGCAAAGAGCACTTGTTATTCCAGAGCTGTGCCAAAGATGTTCAGAGGTTAAGGAAGTATAAGTCTAATAGTAGTATTGCCTGGGAGCTGTGGAGACTGGCTCCCCTCACCGTTGTAAGTGGTCTGGTCTCCTCCTCAACCTCAGCTAGGCTACTGTTTTTGAGGAAAACTGATTATCCCGTAGGACACGGGAATCATCATGTTATTTTTGCAGCGGAAGGAAGTTAAGGGCTGTGTCCCCTTGGCTGCCCCAAGGGAAAAATCAGCATGGTCTAAATGGCAGCTCTCCTCAACGTCTGTCCAGGATGAGCTTTTCACTCACCCAAACAGTGCAGGATTCAGAGTTTCTGCCAAAACTAGGACTTCTGCAGAAGTCATACGAGGGCAGGTCTCCTGTGCAGGAGGAGATAACTGCTTTGGGTCTGTGCGACGACCCTTGGGGTAACGCCAGCTGGTGTCTCCTTGCAGGCGTCGGAGGTGGAGCGGCAGCTCTCCCTGCAGGTCCACACCCTCCGGGAGGACTTTCGGGAGAAGAACTCCTCCAGCAGCCAACACATCGTGCGGCTGGAGAGCCTCCAGGCCGAGGTGAGTCACCTGCGCTCGGCCCAGCTCCTTCAGAAGGCAGCCAGGGCTGTTTTCACTTGTGTAATGACCCTCCCTGAACTGAGTAAACAGAACCTGCTGTTGGAGCAAACAGAGGGGTGGCAGCAGTGGGGTAAAGAACTCCTCCAGCAGGAATTTTTGCTGCAGCCCAGGGATGGCTGGGCTGGCTCAGGCCAGCTTCCAGTGCTGCCTTGGCCACAGCATTCCCAGAAAATGAATGGATGAGAAGGATCTTCCAGGAGCTAAACCACAGCTGTGCTCCTGCAGGGCTGCTGCCCAGTTTGGGTTAAACTCTGGGGCACGGTGGGAAGGACTGCAAGGGTTTTTTTTTATCCTGTTCCTCACGCTTGCAAAGGAAGCAGCAATCCTCTCCTGCCTCTGAGCCACACACTTGGGAAAGCAAGGAGCCCCTGCCTGTTTTAACTTTGGTACATTAGCAGGAATGATACAACCTTCCTTCCTCTTCTCTTCCCTGATGAGGTGTCACTGGGAACCATGTAGGCAGGAACTGCACAGGTAGATGTCCAACTCTACTGCCCAGCCAGTTCTTTTATTTAAAGGCCGTCTGGAAAAGCTTTTCCTAAAATCTCTCAATTTGTTCTTTTCTCCCACTCCCACCTGCTCCTTGCTGGTCCCTCGCCTTTTCTTCCCCTCCCCTTGGTGTGGAGCAGCAGGTCCTTGAAGTAAGTACGGAGGCTTGGAAGGGTTTGCCTGCGTGTCCATCGCTGTTACCATGCATGCCTGTCACTGTGCATGCCCACCTTGCCTCCTCACCTCCTTCCTGTTTTGCTTTCCAAACCCCATTCTCCCCATGTCCTTCCCATGGCCCAGGGCTCCGTTATACAGTTATTCACACTGTGTTCATTACTGGTTTGCCTGCCAAATACAAACTCTTGCTACAACCTCTGTATTAAACCTCTTATTTTTCTTTCTCCAACCCTCTCAAATCATGATGGTGGTGGGCAGAGACATCTCAGAAGCCATTAGTCACCTAAGAGCAGTTTCCAATACCTCCAGCAGCCTTTACCCTACGGAAATAGCAAGTCAACACACTTGGCTAACTTTCCTTTCTGCAGCCAAATCTTTCCAGCAACCTGGAAAGCAGCAAAGAGACAAGGTCCTAAAAAGGCCAAGAAAACAATGGGAAGTTGCTGAATTTGTCTACGGTCCATGGGTTGAAAGGAGGCCATAGGGACTATTTAGAGTTATACTGGGCTGGTGGATGGCTGGCATGCCAGTCCCCAGAGATCCTGTGTGTACTAATCTGGGAAAAGGCTCCTTCTTCTTGGTTAAACAAGAAGTGACCTTGGCTAGTGCTGATTCATCCTGTGCACTGTTCCCAGCTAACTGAGTCACGGAGGGTTTGTTTGGCACACTGTCCCTCCGCCTGAAATCACTGCCCTTGACAATTAAAAGAAATGAACCAATTTTAAAGGCAACTGATCACTGGGAGGCTAAAAATAAGCATGGCACAGAAAGGAGTCTTCACAAGGAAAAAGACAGAAAAATCCCTGATGAGGACCTGATGAACACACAGCAATTAAGAACAGCTATGAGCAGTACTGTGGCACAGCCCTGTGGGGAGCAGGATCCCACAGGCTCACCCTGGATCCTGCTGGCTCACCCTGTGGTCTTCAGCACCCATACAGGAGAAAATGCTACCATGCTCAGTTAGGGACTAGCCAGGAAAAGTAACTAGTTTTGCCCAGTCTTGCAAATGTTAAGGTAGAAGGGGTGGGCAGGGCTGGTCTTTGCTTAATCCTTTTGGACATTTCTGCCTGCTCCCTGACCTGCCAATGCCCACCCAGCCCTTTTAGAGCTGCCTTTGCAGCCTGGAGAAGGAGGAGTTTCCTTCCAGAGCCTTCCTAAGCTTTAAACCACACACACAAAGTTTCTCTCATACAGGTACAGAATACTTATGTACCTACTTTGGCTTTTTTTTGCTGTTTCATTTCTCTCTCCGGAATGTGATTTCCCTCCTCTCTGCTTCCTGCAAAGTGTGGGGTTCCGACACTGCCTCTCTTTCCTCTGCAGATCAAAATGCTGACGGACAGGAAGCGGGAGCTGGAGCATCGCCTTAGTGCCATGATGGAGGAGAACGACCTGCTCCAGGGAACCGTGGAGGAGCTGCAGGACCGAGTGCTCATCCTGGAGAGACAAAGCCATGACAAGGACCTGCAGGTGAGGAGGCAGCAGTGAGGCAGGGAAAGGATGGGGAAATGCAGTAAAAGACACGTTTTGGGGCAAAATTGGCCAGGAAGATAATCAAGAACCGAGAGTCAAAACAACTCATAAATCCATAGAATAAAACGCCTCATGGCAGCAAGTAAGGTCCCAGGTGTTCCCTGGGATCTGGGAACAGATAACAGGAGCCTCAGCGACAGCAAAGAGCAGCTTAGGAGGGAGACCTGAGCAAGGGTGTGGGACAGGGTTCTGGGGAAATTAGGTAAATGTCAAAAGAAGCAGAGAATTTCGGTTGTAGTTCATTTTAGTTAATTTTCTAAGAAAGGGCTTCTTTAGACCCTGCTGTCCCAGAGGGCAGTCACTGGCCTCGTGGCTCTCACTGCTCAGACAGTTTCCTGTGCTGTTCATAGCCATGTGTCACCAAATATCACCCCCCAGAGAACCACCTGGCACCTCTGGGGCTTATGGCATCTTGAGAGAGAGCAAGATTTTTCCATTTTGCTGCCATGGGTTGACAACCCCTGAATCCCCAGGTCTGCAAAACAGCCCTGAAATATTTTTCCTTTTTTTAACATGTATTTGTATTTGTGCATATATTTTCTAAAAATCTGTCTGTATCACTTTCTTTTTGGATTCATTTCCTACTGTGTTGTTTTCAGCAAATTGTTTTACCTGAGTCCTAACTTCTTCACAATGTTTCTCATTTTAGTGCTGATTAACTTGCTATTTTTATCTTTCAGGATATTCTGGAGTCTAAACAATGTCTAATGACATTTGGAGATTATTAAGCTCCAATAAATAGCAACACCAGCCAAGAGTACTTTTCTCCTGGCTGGAAACCCTGCTTTGTGTCACTCATTTCTCCCTCCCAGCTCCTTCAGAAACCAAGAGATTCATCCAGTCCTTATCACCTCCACTAATACTTTTTTTCCAATACCTTTATTTTCTTCACAAGCTGCACCAAAGCCAGATGGAGCTCCAGGAGGTGCGTCTGTCCTACCGGCAGCTGCAGGGGAAGGTAGAGGAGCTCAGTGAGGAGAGAAGCCTCCAAAACCTCAACACAACCAGCACATCCCTCCTATCTGAGATAGAGCAGAGCATGGAGGCAGAGGAGCTGGAACAAGAACGAGAGCAGGTATTTGCCCTCCAGCCCCTGGGAAAGCCCACAGGCCTCTGTGACCAGCCCCTGAGGGAAAAGGGAGTTTATTGCATTTGATCTGGGTTTGGAAAGGGCCAGAAAATTGGGAACAACACCCTTTTGACCACATGAAGCCAAACCTCTGCATCCATTTCAAAACCAACAGAGCAAGCTAGACAGATATTTGTGAGGTTCAGCAAACACACACTTCACTTTACCACAGAAGGAGGATTTCCATGGCCTTGGTGTCCCAGCCTCTTGTCTCTTGTTTCAGCTGAGGCTGCAGCTCTGGGAGGCCTATTGCCAAGTGCGGTATCTCTGCTCCCACCTCAGAGGGAACGACAGCGCCGACTCCGCCGTCTCCACAGACTCCTCCATGGACGAGTCTTCAGAAACCTCATCAGCCAAAGACGTCCCAGCCGGGAGCCTTCGGGCAGCTCTCAGTGAGCTCAAAAGACTGATACAGAATGTGCTGGATGGGGCAGACTCCACGGTAAGTTGGTGGCACAGAGACACCTTGGCTTGTGCATGTCCCAGGCCCAGGTGACAGAGCTTGCTGCAGGTTCTGCTGGATCTGGAAGTTCCCAGTCTCCAAGAAAACCTCTGTGGCCCACAGAGATGGGCTGTCACAGTGCACAGCCTGTTCCATGTGTCTCAAATGGTCAGACAAGAGCCAAGCATGTGGGGTTTCAGCCCTGCAGTGGTCAGACCACCTAAAGTTCCAAGCTCATGCAATAAGTTTCAAGCTCATGCAACCGTCGTTGGCCTGGGAGTCATTCTGGAAAATTAATAAACATAGGCTTACTTTGAGATTTTCAGTAAGTTAGAGTTTCAACGTGGAAATACTGCAGATTGCCTTATACATCACAGTTCAGTTATTTCTCTTAGGGTTTTCCTAACCTTGCTTTATTAGCAATAGCATCACAAAAGCATTGCAACCCCTACGTGGGTAGGTTCTGTCCCTGCGAATTGTCACTGGGTATGAGTGTTGTGGCAAGAGCTGCCAGACAGGTGAAAGGTTTTGCTGGCACAAGATGATGTCTGTGGGATATTGCCCCCAGGCTGCTGAGCAGGAGGGGAGGACTACTCAGCATCCACAGGAGTGCAGAATTACAAGAAAACACCTCACTTTTCACAGTGGCTCAAATCAGGCCTGTTCCCATCCCCCACAAGCTGGTTGCATTGCCAGGATGACTTATTTGAGATGCCATGGTGAGGAACACAGTGCAGACCCTGCAGCTGCAGACCTGCTTGGGAGTACTCACCCTCCTAGTTTAAGGACCCATAACAGCTGCAAGAAGGCTGAGTATAGAGATGAAGTTGTATTTGTTAAATAAAATGTGGAAAGTCCTGCAAAAGGTCCACAGACAGAGATTGTAGCCATATGTTACCAAGCAGGTCTCTGTACATTTGGTTTGTGTTAAGCTCTGCATGCTCTTTGTATCATGTGTACAAGCACTACCACTGGCTGAGCACATTTCCACTGTGGAGGTATCTGGGAAAAACCCTGAAACTCTACCGAGGTCACATTCACATTTCCTTCTTCCTTGTTTAGTACCTCCATCCCAAACCGGTATCAAATTAATGCAATTGCCTTTTTTAAAGTGAAATCTGAGCAAGAGATTTCTCTCCCGCTCTCAGAGCTCTCGACGAAGCGACGACGACACGTTAGAGGAACAGATCAGGAGAACAAGTGAGGATTCACGAGCCCTGAGGGAATTAATGGAGGGAGAACGGGGGAAACTGAGGCAGAGTTTGGAGGAGCTGCAGCGACTGCACAGCCAGGTTAGCAATCCCCACACTTTACATGTGGTCTTGTAACACCAGTGTTCATCCTCCAAGACATGCCTTCCATCGAAGAGATCAACATGATAAATAACTCAGGAGGATTTAGGCCAAAACCACTTATGGCTGGATGAGGGAGACATTGTTAAACCCAGTGCAGAGGATTTATGCATTTAGAAGGAGAGTTTTTGACAGGTTGTCTGGGGTCCATCCCAGGTATTGTCTCAAACAGCCAAACTTCCTTTAAACCTTTCTCCCAGTCCACTTTTCAGCCAATCTGTGTTGCTTAAGTTCATCTCAGCAGAAGACCCCAAAGTACAAGTCTGCTTGGTATGGGGTACTAGAAACCCAAAGGCTTCCAGTCTGACCCAAATTGCTTGCACTAAGCCCTTGTGAAAGACATATACATCCACTGGGTGGATATAACAGTGCTGCTCTGCTGTGCATGAAGCAGGGTTTGACCCCTTCCATAGCAGCATCACAAAACCCTCAGAAATGCACACCCAGAGAATCCTAATCATGGCCAGCCTGTCACCCCAGGGCCAACAGGGCAAAGGCAATCTCAACAACAACAAATGATCCAGCCCTGAAACCAATTCCACAGCCAAGGCACAGAATCCCACTGCATCTGCACTGAATGTAGCACCACCCATGTCTGAGGTCCTGTGCCAAGAGCAGTAACTGGAGAGAGGCACCCAAGAAGATGCTCTGCAATCCCTGTTTCTGTGGGACAAGACTCCATATGCTGGAGGGGATCCAGAGGCTGCAGCAGTAGCATCCTTTGGTGAAGGTGCTTGTGCAGCACCAACTGCACTGGAGCAGGGAATGGGATTAACACTGGTCTTGGCAGTGGTGCTGTATTGCCCTTTTGATGTAACCCTTTAGAGAATAAATAGGAAAACATCCCTGTTCAGAAAGTCAGCACAAGTCTGACAGCCTTGTGTAGGGCTGTGGGGGCTCCCACCACGGGACTGAAAAGAGTGAGAGCATCATTAAATACCCCAGCAGTGATGGCTGCCTGGGTGTGGGGGTGGGAATGGTCCTGCTGACAGAGCAGCTGGTCAGAGGCAGAGTGGAGAAGGGGAGCAGCCCTGGAGCCCATCCTTCTCGGAGGACTGCTCCTCTCAGCGATGTGGCCACCACAAGAGACAATACTGGGGGTCCAAACTTCTGCCCCAGTGAGACATGAGCCCAGACACTTCTCTGGCTGTGCTGCCATGGTCCTGTGCATCACCCCCAGGTCCCCCTTGCCCTTAAACACCTGAGACAGAGGACACAAGGGCTTGACGACTGCAACCTGGCTCTGCTGACCGAGACCTTTCGAGGCTCTTTCACACATTTTGAGTGACCACCTGTACACCACCCTGTGTGTCTGGAGCAGCACCTCACACACGAGGCCTTGACAGGACACCAGGAGGGAGCAGCACGTGGTTGTTTTTTGCTGTGACTGATCATCCCAAACTCCCCAGCCAAGAAGGACCAGAAGACCTGGCCTGGATCACAAATCTGGAACCCTGTCTCTGCTTTTAGGGGTCTCTGACTACCAGAGCTCTGAATATTTAGTGAACAAATGGAAAACCGCACCTCTATTTTCTTCTTACACCTCTATGTGATATGAAGAAAGATGGGGCATAGCTACCAATGTAGCAGACATTGCTCTTGGAGAAATCCTCCAGCCTCTCACAGCAAGCACACATCTCCCACAGCTTTTGCCTGTAACCCATCCTTGCACTTGCTCCACGTTAATAATTATTCTCACCTCCCACTGAAGAGGCAACATCATCTTCTGTTCAGGTGCTAAAGAAAATCGATGCACATGGAAATCTGGTCCAACCTGGGGGAGCAGTGCTCTGCTGCCTCTTCATTTCTCTGTGCTGTCACTGGTATTGATACAATCAAAGGGAAACTCCTCCTAAATGGCTTTTGGAACCGTAGCACCACACACATTCATTGCTCCTGCCTGAGAGCAAGGTGAGCTGGTGGAGATGGGAGTCACCCCTGCCTCTGTCTACACTGGGAAATGGTTTCACATCTTCTCCCTGTCCGTCTTCTCCCTCAGTGGCATCCCATTCTTACCTGAAGCACAGATAAAACTAGTTAAAAGCCCAAAACATTCCCCAAACACTGTGTTTTGGGCCTCTTGATCCCCTGTCCCCTGGGAATTCTGCAGAAGTGCTCAGCACCTTTCACATTGCCCCACTACTGCTCTCTGCCCCATCGCTGCCCTGAGGTGCACCCCACGGGGGGCTGTGGGAGGGCAGGGCTCAGGAACAGCTCCCCAGTTCCCTGGCAGCCCTGGGACACCATGGGGAGTCTCTGCACACAGACAGGGTGTGTTCACACCCTCCTCCCCCCGGCCCAGCCACGCCGCCCTAACGGCAGATCCTCCCACGCCCTGGATGTGATGAGCCCTTTTTGACTGTCTGCCCTCTATTTAAAGATTTCTTTGAAGATTCAAGCACTACTGAGCTGCATTTAGAGACAGGAGGTGGGTCAAACGCTGGAAGGGTTTCCAGGTGATGGAGTAGTGTAACAGAGCATGTGTGTGCCCTAGACAAAAGAAATTAAACGTGTATGAAATATTGCAAAGCTCTGCTAATGCGATCCTTGCATGATTTTACACCCTATTAACTCACTCTGCACAGGACCAAAACGATAGATCATTTCTCAGACTATTTAAGACTCCACACATATTTTAAAGTCTAATTAAAATTGTAAGATGTGCCAGTAACACCTTCTATGGCATGAAAGGGAATGTTCACATCCTTTGTCTACAGCTTCATTCTACAGGAGACGTAATGGCCCCTTCAAAAAATCTTATTTGCTGCTAAATTATGTTAGCAATAATTTAACCCTGGAAAGATCAGAATTACAACAGGCAGGCTCAGAGGATGCATTCACAAGACAAACTGCTTGGAGAGGGGCAATATTTTAGTGCCGATGCCATAGTGACAGCAAAGTCACAGATGGGTCCTGCTCTGTTTTCAGTGCTGTTTCTGCATGTTACTGAGGCTTAGTGACCATCTCGCTCAGACCAGCACTGCCACCATCCCAGGGAAAGCCAGCACACTTTATGAGGTGTTGCACCAGCACTAACAGCCCCCTCCCAGCAGACACAGCTTCTCCTACAAGCAGGGGAGCTCAGCCTCCAGGTTGGCCCACGTGAGTTTTTTTTCCACACACACACTCGTGGTGAATTTGCCTGAGCAGCCCTGGGTTTCACACCTTCCCTCTGCCCACAGGTCACGCTGCTGAGTGTGGAAATGACGACGCTGAAGGAGGAACGGGACCGGCTGCGAGGAGCTGCCGAGGACAAGGAGAGCAGCGAACGGCTCCTGCAGGCCATCAGGGACCGGGACGAGGCCATTGCCAAGTAAGTGGCACCAACAGCCAAGGCCAGGCTGGGTCAGCAGTTACAGACTGCCTTGGCAGGAGGTGCCTCTGGGGTGGATTTGTCCTACCCTCTGCAAATCCGAGTAGCTGTTACAGTGTGATGGAGCGAGTCTCGGTTTCACTGGACTTGGGAAATGCTGCCAGGAGCTTGGGAACGGGGCAGGAGATGTGGATTTCCAGAGCTGCCCCATGGCAGGATTGGGGACATTAAAGAGGATGCTGTGAAGCATGTTTTTGCCATCCCTAGTGCTGGCATGAGTCACTGCAAGGAGGAGAGGACTTCAGGGAACCAAATGGTCTGCCCTATTTGTCATATTTGAATTCTTTTGCTCTTCCAGACACACCCTGCTTTCCTGCCCATCCCCATTACAGCCCTGCTTGGGCTTCTTCCCTAAACCATTTCATTTCTCTGGTCACTTGCTCTCCTTTCCTGTTCCAGGGTCTTTCTTACATCTCCAGTCCTGTAATTCTCTGTTTCTCCTTTTGGGATTCTCCCACTGGTTTGGCTCTTTATTTTCCCCATCCTCTGCACACCTGTGCAGTTCTGCTCCCCTGTACCCTATGCCCCCCTTCCCCAGCTCTGTCCTTGGGCCCGCCAAAATGCCTTGAGAACTCTTTGCCCCGAGGAGAGGGGCAGAAACATTCACACCTCTGTGCTCCAGCTAGAAAGGATATATGTGGTAATCCCTTCAATAAGCAGATGAACCAGGACACCACAAGTCCATCTTCTTAGGGAAACTCAAGCCCCAGGCAAGAGGAGAAGCACAGGAGCATTGCAGCTCTGAAGGTGCAGGAGCTAAATCAGCCTGCACCATCCCTTCACCTTTCTTGAAGTGCCCTGATCATCCCTGCTGCTCTTGCCCAGGTAGCTGGCTACCGAATTCCCATCGCTGTCCCCTGTAACACCTCCATCTGTTGGCAAGGATCAGGAGCATCCCAGCTGTCTGCCAGGCGCAGAGAGAGGTGGTTCTGACATTTCCAGTGCGTGTGGGTTGCGGGCTGTGCTGTGGCCATGGCAACACGCTGCCATCAATCCCCGGGTAATATCCAGCCAGCGAGGGGGAGCTCGGCAGCAAAAGCCTGTCTAAGGTGCTCAAACCAGAGCCGGGAGTGGAAGGGCACAGTTTCTCCAGTCCACTAATGACCCTGCTGGCACAAAGCACCAATATTTACGGCTCACTGTCGTGCAGCACAGGAGCCTCGGGAACGGGGACGAGAGGAGTGTGCAGGGGGGAGTGACGGGTGATTAATGAGCAGAAAGTGGCAGCAAGTGAAAGCAGACAAGAGCGACTTGTTGCTGGAAATGAAAACATCCCTCCCAGACCGAGTGGGCTGTTCCCAGGCACTGAACCTCCTGGGAGGCTCGTGATATGCTTCCCACCTCACACCTCAAGGGTTAAGTCGCTTTTGTTGAACCCCTCCCCCAAAAAATCCCTGACTCTGAACAGAAATAAAATCACTGCCCAAGGCAGACATCTGGCGTGGAAAATTTTTGCTTGAAGCTGAAGTTTGGCAACATGGGAAGCAATAGGAAAACAGGATCCTATAATAGGAAGTGTTAAGCAACCAGTACCTGGAATATAAACACAAGTTCTCAAATTGCTCTTCTGCAGGGGAGCACAAGGGAGCTATTAGGAGGGGAGGAATTAGCTACAGTTAATAAGATGTAATTATTTCTCTCGAAAATGTTTGCAAGGAAAGATGGTTCCCAGCAAGTCATGTTACAGCTTCCCATCACACAGCAGTTAATTGAAAACTTAAGCTTTGTGCTCACCTGTTGTGCTCCCAGTATGGTGAGCAGCATCTCCCAGCTTGGGCAGCTTACTCCATCCTGAAGGATAATTCCTGTCCAGTAGCAGCTGGAACATCTCAGCCACTGAGCACTCAGGGCCCTTTGGGCAACCTTGTCCATGGTGTTACAGGCCCAGTGGCCATCAAATGCCTGGAAAGAAATGCAGCAGTGGTGTTCCCAACCCCATTGAAATTGGGATCTCTCCTTAAAGCATAACATTTAATTCAAACAGTTTTAACAGTTTGTCATTCTTTAAAAGCATTTGCTGTGATAAGCTCTCCTTTCATTCCTTCCTTCAGTCCAAGTACCAAGTAAAAGCACAATTGTACTCTTTAAAGGTTTTGTCTGTTTGTTTGTTTGATATTTCAATTTATTGATCAAGTGGTTAGACACAGGTCATTTGATTTTTAGCACATACTGTTCTTTTCTATGCATTAGTAAACAGAAGAAAAGGAAAGAATGTTTATATATAGATTTTACCATGTTTTAGATCTCTACTTAAATGGCAGGTGGTGCACATTATCCAGGCACAATATTACCTTACACAGCAGTGCATCTGATTTTCTTTTTGTATTCTTCATTGTGTGCTTACCAGAAATCTGCTGGTTTTATAGTAATGATGTCAACAGCTCTGTCCCACTCTTCAAATTAATAGATTGTCCAGAATAGAATGGAGATGAACAGTTTAGGAAGCGAGGACTTGCCAATGAAAGAAATTGTTGACTTCTCCTCAAGGATATTTTTAACTCTTGCTTTAAAAAAAAAAAAGAAAAAGAAAATAAAAAAGAGAAGTCACGTGCCCCAATTTCTGTGATCCCCACAGGAAGAATGCAGTGGAGGTGGAGCTGAGCAAGTGCAAGATCGACATGATGTCCCTCAACAGCCAACTGCTGGATGCCATCCAGCAGAAGGTGAACCTCTCGCAGCAGCTGGAGGCCTGGCAGGTGAGCAGCCCTGGCCCCACAGGGCAGGGTCTGGGTGGCACATGGTCCCAGAGGCACCTTTGGGTGACTGTCCCCCCTCCCTGTGGGTTTGCTGCGTTCTCAGCCCGTAGATTGTGGGGTTTGGTTTTGGCTCTGCAGGAGCCAGTGGTGCAGTGGGGCTCAGGGGGCTGAGCTGCCCTCCCTGCTCCAAGGTGTCCAGCTGAGAGCTGTTCATGATACAGGAACACTCATTTAAACAGACTGTATCTCATGGCTGCAAGCAGAATGGGGAACATGCACATGGCAGAGTAACCTGCTGTGCCCCTGGAGGGGAGGGGTCCGTGCAGGAGGTGTCCCCAGCAGGTACAGCCTGGGGGATGTGTGGACACAGCATGTCCATGCATTTCCATAAAGGACCAGAAAGGTGGGAGAGTGGGAGGCAGAGGGGTTGTTATGACTGTTGCTGCACTGTTTTCATCAACTCAGAAGATCCATCAAGACGGAGAAGCTAAAATCCCAGCTCTCCACCAAGGTAAAAAAACCAAACCCATGGCAGTCCCACAGCTGCCCTGGAGATGCTCTGCTTGGGGTCAGTGGGGAAAACCCTCGTCAAGGCAGAGAGCCCTTGAGAGCAGGCAAAGCTGTCTCCCCCCAGAACCAGCACTGAGGGAGGGCTACTTTAACACCAAATAAAGCAGAATCAAAAGGTCTGTGCCATTTAGAGTGATTTGTTGCAGACCATGCAAGACCCCAACTCTGCTAAAAACCAGCCTGACCAGTAGAAACCTTTCCCGTACAACCTCGCTCCTGTCTCAACTCCACTGTGTTTTCGTTTCTCTCTTTTTTTTTTTTTTTCTTCTTTTCTTTTCTTTCTCCTGCTTACAGTTTGCTTCCTCAGGGCTTTTTACTATCTGGCTCCTTTGGTTTCTGATCTAGTGGCCTTTCTCAGTTCCTGTACCAACAGCTTTAGTCGTACACCCCTCCTGCCTTTGAGGTGAGCTCCCCACACCCTCGCCAACACCCGCCATCCCCTTGCCTGCTCCATCTGCTGCCACCATCACCCACATCCTTCTCTGCCCTCACCATCATCTGGCAAGAGGGGCCAGTGGGGGGTCTCCATTACCCACAATATCCTGCACACACACACCCCACCCCAGCACCAGGCCAGGGCACGAGGGGTAGAAACCCCTTGTCCCCATGGTGAGGCTTTTACCAGATCACCACGGGAAAAGCCAGGCTGAGGTGCACATATTATTAACCCTCTGTATCCACTTATCAAGGATCTGGAAAACTTCCTGAAATAGAGACTGGCATAGGAGCTGTCTGGATCCAAGTTCTGCTTCAGTTTGGATGGGTGGTATTTGAGACCTACTTAGTACACTTAGTATTTAGTGCTAGAGTAAACCCAGCTTAGGGTTTAACAACAGGTCCTATTGCAGCAATACAACAACCCCAGAGCTGCTCCCACCAGCTCTGAGGTGAGGCCCAGGCCCACTAGCACAGCAGTAAGTTGTCTCCAACTTACTGACCAAAAGCATTATTACACAGCAGCAAAATAGTTTCCAACACCTAATGTCCCCAGAACAGCAGCTCAACCACAGAGGCACAAAACAAGTCAGGTGATTTATGTATTTTGGGGACTGTTTTCCAAAGGTGAATGTTTCTGATAAAATAGAATAAGAGTCTCTGCTTTAGCTGGGCATAAGTAAAAGCTTTAATCTGATAGCATTTTGTTCTTGCACCCTTCTAGTCTGCATTTTACCAAGGACTCTCAACAAGATTACTCTGTTCTGTAAACACATAATCATACAGGCTATAAAATAGGACACAAGCAAAAAACCTCCACAGCCAAGTGCTGTGCTCTCTGATTCACACATCTGACAGACAGGGGCCCAAACACAGTGCACTCTCAATAGTGCATATTGTATTTTTATATATATATAAAATATTTTTTGTGTATATATATAAAAAAATATATATAAATCATACTCACCCCTTGTCGTGTGCTTGATCAAGGACACAGATCTGCCATGCAGGAGCCTGGGTACCTACTTCATTTACTAGAAGAGGTGCCTTCAAAATCCCAGTGCCATACATTTTCACATGGCAGCTTCAGCTCTGGAAACCTGTTTCATCTTAATACTGATGTTTACCTTAACCTCTTCAACTCTCCCTCTGCCTTTCCTCTCTCCAGCCCTGCTCTTAAAAGATCCAAAGCTTCCCCAGTCTGTAGCTCTGCACCCTCCTGCTCCCCCAGGGAAAGTCCCCATAATAAATTCAGGTCCAGGTCATGGCTATTGATCCTTTTCCCTGCAGAAAATGCTGCAACAAGAGATTAAACATCGTTTAAGTTTCCACTTCTACTTGGCTGATTTGATTCCACAGAGCACCTGGGTCACCTGCTGGGCAATGGCAGCACCTTCCCTTCTGTCCTGGTGCTTCCCTGACAGGCTGCCTTGCATGAGGTGCCAAATGAACAGCACTTCCACCACTGCAGCCCATCCAGAGAATCCTTGTTCTCACCAGATAGTGCCTTCAGTCCTAATCAGGGACCAAGCTGCTGGAGAACATTTGATTCCTCCTGTAGGGCTAGTTTGTGGACACACATTTTCACTAAGCTGCAGTTTAAACATGCAATTAGAGCAGAAGTAATGGATTTGAAGGTTTAAAATCTGTAGGATTGATAGCCATGTTTTCAAGGAGCACAGCAGCACACCGTTACTGGCAACAGAACTGGCTAATTATTTTGTGTAGAGTAATTCCACTGTGCTGCAAACGTGGACAAAACCAGAGAATTTCTGGTACATCTCAAAAGCCCCAGTTCATGCCGAGCTGTCAGTCAGATTGCTTCCACTGCTCTGCTCTGGGGGAAGGAGCAGATTTAAGGGATGAGCTCACTTCTCTTTGGTAAGTCTGGTGCAAAGCTCACGTGGGGTCTGGACAGCCCCGACACCTTCCCCAGCCCCTCAGCACCTTCCCCGAAGAAGCCCCACTAACGTGGCTGTGCTGGCAGCTCTGCCACACCTGCCTGCTCCCCACAGTGCACACACAGGCCTGCTCAGCACAGACCCTTCCTTCTTCCAGCATCTGCTTTCAGCTGCATTTGTTCTTTTTATTTATTTCTCCCCCCAAAGGGGACATCTACAAGCTGCAGACAGCGGAGGAACATAGTTCAGGGGTGTCACAGGGTCCCAAGCAGGCTCAGTGCTCCTGGGTGAGAGCACCTGAGTGATTTATCCCTCAGAACTGTGTGATTTATCTTCCTGGCTCACTGAAAAGCCTCACAGCAGCAAGCACAGCTGAGCCTGCTGTCGGGTGGGGGCTCAGACCTGTCCCCACTCTTGTCATCCCTGCTCCATCTCATCACTGCACGTTTCATACCCATTTCAGCCGCATCCCGGCGCGAGCTCCCGTGGAGCATCAGCTGCCACTAACACCCCTCTCCTCTCCCTCTGCTGCAGGATGACATGCACAGGGTCATTGACCAGCAGCTGATGGACAAACACCCGAAGGAATGGAGCCAGCTTGCTTATTCCTTCTCCAGTGGCTCCGGAGCCAAGCGGAGTGCCAGACCCTCCCCCGCGTTCAGGCCGGAGCAGCAGGGGGACGAGCCCGTCGGGGCGGAAGGAAACCGTCTCTTTTCCTTTTTCAAGAAAAATTGATTTGAAAAAGAGAAAACTCTCCAACAGTTCCTGCTTCAAGATGGGGAGTGGGGCAGCTGCCCAGCTTGCTGATGGACCCAAGTCTGATCCACTGAGTAAAAAAGAAGGGGGCAAAGGAGTTAACCCTTGAGACTCTGCACTATTTACACCGCACCTGGTCTGAACCAAATGTTTACAAGAATTGGAGATTTGCAAATTGACAATGTGATACTAATAGAAAGAAACTTTTCTTATTCTATAAGTGAAGTGATAAACTTCAGGGTATATTTTAGCGCTTCGGCACAGTCCAGTTTCTGCTGTGAAGAATACTCTGATTGTCTTAAAAGCATTCTCATGCTGGAGAAGGAAATAAGCAGCCCCAAGACAGAGCAGTGCAGGGGATTGAGAACTGCTGTCACAGTGAGCACAGGGGGAAGAAGAGGCTGAATGTAAGAGAAGAGAGGGGAGTCATTTATACCACCCTCCAGTCCTGGCAGCTGTGACATCCTTCATCCATCCCACCAAGACTGGAGTCACTCTGGCCCCAGCACTGCCATGTTTTGACAAATGTAGCTTTCTCTGTGGTGGAAGTTGAGCCCTCACTGCAGATCCTGCCTGGGCACCTGCAGCTCTGCGTGGCTGTTCACCCTCGCTGGGAATCCAGGCTCCTCACAGCTCAGGGCAGGGGGCAGATTGCTGGTGTCACTGTCTTCTCCAGCTCCCTCCTGTTACAGAGGTAAGAGTTGCAGTCTGTAGCTACACAGAATGTTAAGGATTTCTCCCCAAGAGACTGACCATCTACAACAGATTACAGACTGGATTAAAGTTGTGGGTGTTTGGTCCTGGGGCAGCTGCTGTCCCTCTGATGACCAAAGGTAGTTGAGGAGCTTCAGCAAGTCACACACTTCTCCCCAAAGCCATGCACACCTCCCAAACAGAGAAGAAACCTGTCATTTTAACTGGATAGGCCCCCAAAAGCCCAACTAATAATTCACTGAAAGCCTACCCATAATGATGTCAGTGGGTCTTTGACACTGGGTTGGCACTCAGTCCTCAGAAAGCACACTGGCATCTGCCTTCACTGAGGCCAAAGGCCATCAGGGTGTCTACAAAACTCTGGAAAGCCTGCAGGTTACTCTGCCCTATGCAGTAACATTGGCTGGGGCCCGGCAGAAAGGAGGAGTACTTGTCCCTGCCTGCAAGTTACTTCTCAGCCCTTTGGCAAGCAGGGAGCCAAACCTCCTACTGATCAAAGATGATCAGAGCCTGCCTTGCACGACTTCATCAACAAGAAGCAACGTGACTTTTTTGGTGTATGCACACAGCAGTGCTGGAAATCCTGCAATACTCAATTAAGGACCTTCCCTCTGCACTGGATAGGCACCTTACAGCTCTTCTCTTTAACACAGTCTACCATCATAAGCCAGTGAGGAATGCCAGGCTCAGTTCAGAGATGTCCTGCTGCTGTCATGCAATTTTCACACATTCTTGCAGTTTATGATACCCACAGGCCCTAAGTTGTCTCCCTGCTGCTTTAAACAGGCCACCACCTACACTGTCCCACAGGAAACAGAGCTGGGTACACCTTCAGCTCTGCCCTGCTCAGCAACTTTGGTGCTAAAACACCATCCTACAGGGAGCTGCTCTCTCTGCTCACTATTTACAGGAACAAGCTTTCTGCTAGAATTAGGTATCAAAAACCTTCTTCTAAGCAGCAGGTAAGAGGCTGGTGGCTTGGGTTTTATTATTCAACTTACCTATGGGATAGAACATCCATAATACCTCAGTACAAATATCCTTTCTGCCTACAAAGATTTGAGCATTCCCATATTTCCTTGTTAGCATGAAACTACTGCACTGATATTAAATCATCTTGCACTCAGATAGCTCCATGGTACAAGAAGCAGAGTACTCTGAGGTTGGAAGCTATGGTAAAGAGCTGAGTGGTAAGACCCATTTACTTGAAAGCAATGAAACCTGGATTGCAGAGCCTGCTCCAGGAAATACTTGGGCAAAGCCCCACCAATACAGCTTGATGCTTATGGGGAAAAGAACCCGAAGTCTCACAGGCAGGGAAGGAAACTGAACCTTGGCCTCTCCTTTCTAGGCAATGCTCAACTGTTGAGTATCTGCTTGTATCCACTTGTGCAAGCGAGGGAAAGGGATGTAGCACAGTGCCAAGTGCTCTCAGGATGGTGAGTCCTCATCCTCCTGTCTTACCTGTACTGTGACTCTCCACAGGACAAAGACATGAGGCACATGCTCTGCATCTCCTGCTGCCAGGACTGTTACACCCACATGCATTAACATAACCTTTGATACCTGCAGAAGGAGGGTTCACGGATGCCAGCAATACCTGTGAACAGTTACACCCTGAAAAGGATGCTCTGCTTATCGTGGGAGAGCCACGTGAACATCTCGGTCCTCACGGACCTTTTTTCTGTTGTCAGTTGTCACTTCCCAGGCCCCACCAGCTCTCTCTTCAAGCCACATGCCCAGCAGCTGTGTGGGACTCTACCCCCGTGAGGATGGATGGATGGATGCAATCCAAAGGCAAGGGCCTTAAGTTATCCCATGAAGATGCAGTAATGAGATGAAGAAAGGTGCCTTCTGCTACATGTTTGCTGAAGAAAGCGACTCATTCACTTGCAGGGGGAGGCACAGCACATCTCTTCATTTAAGGAAAATCCTTAATCCCACTGCAGTTTTATGTATTTAATAAGAGTGATGGAAGAGATTGCAAGAGGAAAGTCAGCGTGTTCCAAGGTGCCAGTTGGGTATGGTTTCTTCAAACTAGCCCCTTAACCCTAAAGACTTAGTTGCACTACTAAACCCAGAAATACAAGAGAACTGGGTGTAATGAACTGGACAACACACCAAAGGAGACCTCCTTGTGCTGAGCTGCTACTCCACAGGAACAGAAACTGCCTTAACATAGCAGCTAGGTTTTGTCGTTCTGTCTTCAAAACCCTCACCCGTGCAGTCCTTCACACTCATTTGTCACACTGTGTTTTAACAAGGTCCCGACCACTTCACTTCGCACTGTCATCAAAACACTCACCTCCATCCAGTCACAGCCAGGAGCCTGGAATCAGCCTTGCAGTGCTGGTTAGAAGACACTTCACTCGTGGTACCTGATGCTCCCAGGACACACATGGCATAAAGGACACATCGGCTCCAGTGGATGAGATGGAGGAAGCGCATTAATCCGGCAGGTACTCAGGATCTCAAAGGAGATTTAAGGCGTGGGATCAGCAGCTCTAAACACAACCCTCAGCCTTGCTTTTGAGATAATGGTAAATAAAGCAGTAGTGCTGCACAGTCACTGTTCAAATATTGCACAGAGAAGAGATGCCTGCTGAGATTAGGGTTACAAAGGACTTTCCCGCAGTTCAGTAACAGGTGACTGTTTGGGCAAAGCCTGAGGGAAAAGGGATCAGTCTCCCCTTCACAAACTCTGTAAGGGAAGCCACTGTAAACAAGGAACAAGTGTAACTGAAAGGCAAGTCACTAGCACTTTATCTTATTACAAACTTAGATCAGCAACTTGCCATCCAGGTGAACAGCAGATCAGCTAATGACAACAGAATAATTTTGCACAGGGAAGCAGGAAGGGAGGCTGCAGGCAGGGCCAATGCACTTGTCCTACTTAGGATGGTAAATTCCAGATTTGCCTCTCCATCAGGCAAACTCTCTACTCCCCACTCAGCTATAAAAAGCAAGATTGTTTGAACCAAAAAGCCAAGAAAGGAAGTGTCTGGGTGCTGCAGCAATGATTCCCTTGGATCGAGAGGGAAAAAGCACACAGCAGGGACAAGCAGAAAGAATGTATCTATAGATATGTACATATACCACAGTGCTGTAATTTTTGTATGTAGCAGTAATGTAAATAAATGTATGGTTTTTATAAGATACATATTACAAAAATCTATAAAGGCATATTTTTAGTAAAAACAATGCTCTACTTCTTTTGTAAATAGTTCTCTTCAGAATAAAACAGATCATTTATAAGATACCGTCTCAGCTCTCACTGCTTACTGTGCTTAGCTGCAAAACAAGCTCATTTTTTGAACTGTCATTTAACACCCAACAGCATCTTTAATGCTGCATCATCCCAAGAAATTCAGCCACGTAAAGCACTTGTGTGTGTTCAGAAGAGAACGGGCCAGGAGAAAAAAAAAAACATTTGAAGCATCTGATTTACCAGAGGAGCTGGTAAATCATCCCACCTTCCAGCCACTTGTGTTGTTTTACTGGCTGTTATATGGAGGCAGATTCAAAGTGTAAGGAGTTTAGACACAACACACAGACAGTGACACATCTCCAGCTTGCACCAGCCACAGTTCACACCATCCCCACGTGCTCAGGATTCCCCTCTCCCTAGTCCTACCAGAAGGGTGCAGATGGAGAAAGGCACCTTCCCACAGCAGTTTCCATCACACCTCGCCAGGAGTGAGGCCTTGCCCTGGGCAGCTGCTCGTGCATGGAGGGCAGCAGGGCAAGGGGATGCTGAGGGCAGCACACACAGCCACGGCTGCAGAGTTCCTGCACAGATTAATTAAACACACATTAATTTCCTGGGAAAGTGAGGACAGACTCCAGATGCTTTTTAATCACCTCAGGGGCTGACCCCTGCTGCCTTGGAGGAGCTTTCAAAGCTCACTCAAGACTTCTTGTTGAACAGAAAGACAAAAGATTACAGCACAATCACAAGCATCACGCAGAAATAAGTTACCAGTTCCAGCTTACTCTTCATTCACATTTAAAACTAAAATAGCAACTGGACATTTGAAAGCATTAATTGTGGTTTTGTCAATATCCCCTCCCAGGAAAAAAACAATACAGCAGCAGAGCTCACCCCTGGCTTGCCACCCTCCACCTCCAGGTGCTGGTCAGCAGAGGAAACAGAGCCTCAAAAAAAAAAAAGATTTGGCAGCTTGTAACCTTTATTTTTAGTTTTTTAAAATTATTTAAAAAGCATAATTAGAAACTTTCATTACAGAAATAATCCTAGCAAACCAGTTAGACATTCCATTGCTCAACATTTAGGAAACTTCACATCAGCACCACTAGAGACACAGTCCCCACCCCTTCCAAGTGAATAGTTGTGGCAAGAGCAGAGGTTACTGCTCCTCTACAGCCAGCTCTGGGGGAAAAAAAAAAAGAAATTCCCACTTTAAGCCAGAAAGATGGAAACCTGGATTGGCAGAGTTCAAACCATGGCCACCAAGACCTGGACTCAAAGAGGACCAACTTTTCCATATAAGAGAACACTCCAGGCTTGGGTGCACCATTTCCTCATTTTATTGCATCATTTCCAGTAAATTCAGACATTTTCTGTACTTCTGCCTATATGAAGTTACTCCCTCCTAGATCTGCACACACGCTACCACAAGAGTCCCAAAGTTAACACAGCTGGGCCCTTTACTCTGCAAGGGGTAACTATCATAGGACAGCTCCATTCCCACGGGAAGGCTCCAGGGATGGCCCAGCTCCTCCTGGCACACACCACATTCAACACCAGAGAGCAGACAAGGATGGACTGGTGGGAATTCAGCCACCACTTTCCACAGCCACTCAAGTCTTACAATTATCAGAGCTCACTCCAGCAGTATCATCCCAGCTCACTCTTATTCTTGGGTTACCAATGCAAGATATGTGAAGAAAAGAGACGGGTGAAGGCAGCTGGATACATATTCCCAGCACCTGAACTGATTAAAAAAACCATGTGTTACACATTCATTGTTTGCATTTTGTAAAAAGTCTTTAAAGTGATTGACTGTGACGTGATTGTATGATCGGGGCTTTTACCACAACCCGAAAAATCTAAAAAAATGCAGGCAAAATAAGTGACTAAAATTTAGCCTCTCCTGGGGGAAGGGGGAGGAAGGGAGAGAAGTGGGCTGACTCCAAGCTCATGGACAGCAGTGAATCACATCCTACCAAACTAAGGCCAGCAATTCCATAGGGCCACTTACAGACACACTGAGTATGCCCACCTTCAAGGCCTTAAAGGAAGTCATACCCTCCATGCCTTTTAGTCATTTTAAGGAAAAATTATTTTTTAATATTATTTAGGCAATTATTCAGGTGCTGAGCATGTCCTTTCAGCCCAGACATTTGATATTTTAGTTACACACACATACACTCTCCACCTTTAACTACATCTATTCAGGCTGAGGAACTGAGCCCTTGTTTTCCCAGAAAGGCCAACAAGGGCCAGGAAAACATTGAGCACAGTGAGCCCAGTTTGTTTCCAAGGGTGATCCTCCACCACCACATAACCCAAGCAAGCAAGCTTTCCATTTCTTTGCATTAAACAGCAGTCCTCCTTCCTAACAGAAGAATTCTGGGAATGATCCTGCAGCAGCTTTCATATTCAGACATCAACCCAGAACAGCTGGATTTATTTTCATGCCTTTTCTCTCTCAAAAAACAAAAGCTTTGCCACCAAAATTCACATTCAAGTTCAGATTGCCTATCTGTGGACAGGGCAACAAGGAGAAGTTTGGGTTTTTTGGCAGAATCACATGAATTTTGTTCTTCTCAAAAGAAATGGACCCTCACTTAGGACACCGGCAGAACCAGAAGCAGAGGTCAAAGAGTCAAACTTTGCTTTAAAAAAAAAAAAAAAAAAAAGGTTTTATCCAAATAAATCCCACTTCTGCAGGTCAGTTTGTTTTCCAGTATCTTGATACAAACTACAGGAGAGCACAGGTACAGCTGGGCTGCAGCACAAGGAGGTGAAACCCAAGGATCCAGCCACAAATCTGGACCACGGCAAACTGAAATTCAAGGCCCCAGCAGCAGCACCAGCTGCCAGCCCAGGGGCTGGTGAAGTGAAACCCCAGGCTCCAGCAGTGACACCTGCAATCCTGGTACCTAGAAAAACACAGCCTGAGCCCCAGTAAAAGCCTGGGACTCCAGGAGAAGCCAGAGGCCCCAGGGGCACCAGTTGCCAGCCTGGAGCCCAACAGAAATGCAGCCAGAGGCCCCGGGAAGCAGTCGCTGCCAGCCTGGGGCCACCTCGAGTTAAGAACTTTGTACTATTTCTTTAAAAAGATGAACTCTGCAGTCCATGATTGGTTGACATTAAGAAGGCAGAAGCCAAAGCGACAACAGGGAGGCGAGGCTGGTTAAAGCAATATACATTATATACAAACTCTTGGGTTAATTAGTCCACTTGGTAGGCAACGTCCTTCTTGTCTACAAGGCGCACTGGAATGAGCAGGGGAGGAGAGGGGGGCAAGATTCCATCCGATACCTTCTTGGCACTGAAGTGGTAAGGTGCCAGCGCCTCTTGATAGAAAACATGGAGAAAAAAATAATCTTTAAATAACGGCACAAAACTGAGAAAGTCCTCCCAAAGCCTGCCCCAGTGGAATTGCCCGAGTCTAGCTGGAGGGGCTGATCTGTCTGAGAGCAGAGTCTCTGCAGCAGGGAAAGGGCATTAGCAGCACCTCTTCTTCCTTTTACTGTTCTTCGTTAGCTTCACCACATCGTTCTGTTGCTGCTGTTGCTGCTTTGCTAAGTTTTC